GGTAACGTCGAGTTAACGACACGTGTCCCATATTAATTACTAAGTCACATCTGTATTTCAAATATATAATTTTTACTGTAAATAAATACAAAAGGAAAATAGAAAACCAATAAAAAAATATAGTACACTAACAAGTCAGTGAATTTGCTACAAAAAAGATCAATTGTTTCCCGTATATAATCAGGAATTTGTTGTCTAGCGGGAAAATCAACCAACAGTACTACTGGACAGACCTATAAAACAGCCAACTATCATTATATAGTGGGAATATTAAAGTTTGGAGTGTGAACACTTCAAAAAAATATTTTATATCTTATCAGGGTAGACATCATCAACATATTGTCTGTCCACTTGGTCCTGATCTTCCTTTTCATCTCCAAATTCAACCGTTTTTTTGAGAAATTGTGTTTGATGAACTTCTTCTGCTTCCTTAATATGTACAGTTGGTAGATCATAACTAATGTCGTCAATTATGATTTGTTGTATAACTATCGATTCTCCCTTATCTACATCCTCAAGCTCCTTTTTATTGGATCGTGGTTGATCAATTTGGTTTGTTTCCCCTTTATTTACAGCTTCAACTTATTAATTATTGTATGTTGCTAATTGAGTTAGTAAACAAGAATTTTATTGAATGATGCTTTGATGCAGCCTTCAACCTCTTCAGCATTTTCAATCGCCTCCTGTGTTGGTTTTTTCACTTCTTCCGTTCGAAAATCATAAATAGGGAATTGAGAAGCATTTTTCTTCTACCATATCCTATCTTAATCTTTTGAATTAAGCTTCCTAGTGGGGACTTTTTGACCCATTTATTTGGACCGTGGTTATTTTATTTGTTTTTTGTAATTCTTTTACTTCACATTTTAATTCTGTCATTATATTTCCTAAATTTGTTAGACGAGTATAATTGAAACATGAAAGTCCAAGAACAATTTATGATGATCTTTAAGTAATTTCTGTATTTCTTCAAAACAAATACGAGGGCTAGTATGTGGATATGTATCACCATGTGTTAGTTGAGGACCGATATGATAAGGAACTATAGCAACAACCTCAACTAACGTGGGCGAATATGGTCGGGATTTAGTCTCTCGTTGTCGAAGATGCTTCCCAGAACTGGATGGTTTTTCAAGTGGAGGGTCAAATAAACGATGCTCACTGTGTTTTATTTCAAGAAGATAATCATAAACCTGCAAGATATTACATATAATCAAAGTCAATCAAAGTATCACGTGAGCATAATAACTCTTTATAGGAATTAAGAAAATAAATAACTCACCTTGACGGATCTGAGTCTCTTAAAGGTTAGTTGAATCTTTAGTTGAATCTTTACAGTATTCCACCTCACATTTATTGGTCACCTCAGCATTCGTGGTCCAGCCTCAGACACTACTGGGAGGACCAAGAATGTGTACTCATAAAATCAGAGTTGCGTGAAACATGATAAAATAATTAATTGTTATGTCCAAAATTATGAAGGGAGCTTTTAAGAGTTATGTGCAGTACACAAACCGTTAGAAGGAAAACAAAACCAGTAATATATCTCAGTGATTGATCCTTCCTTATATTCCTGGCACAGATATTCAGTTGCTCAGTCATAAATTCACATATTGTAATTGGCCAATTATACGCAGTAAAAGTTTCTACATACTCACAAATAAAAGACAACTCTTTCGACACTCTAAAATTGTTTGAAGGAAAAAATAAATTTGACATTAAAAACTTGATTAATAATTGCAAAATGTTATAAGTGGACTTTCGTGGTGAAAAGTTGAGTAGTGTGGTCTTTATTTATCTCGCATTCATACAACCAGACGGAGCATTACTCCAGCATGCAGGTAACCCTCTATTGGGCATGTCTATCAGGAATGCAACTTCGCCTGAATCAAATTTGAGTTCTTTCCCTCCCAAGTTGAATGTCATTCGAGCAATATCCCAACAGTTTATTATGTGCATTGTCAGAATATGATCCCGAGGGTACGGAGGGAGTTCAAAAAATCGAGTCAAACTCATGGCTTCCATTTTATTCCATGTGTCATCGTCGACTGATGGTCGAGCCTTATCGAGAACTTCTCGTACTGCAGATGGATGGCATCTGCAATTATTGATTTTGCGCTAAAAAACCTACAAGAATACAACAAAATAGTTTAAAATCAAATAAAAGTCCAAATGACAACAAACAGGGTGAAGTTAAAAAAATTTCAACATTAATTTTTCAGCAAAATAAATTTAACTGCAACATTTAGGAAAGCATGATGATCTTTGTTTACAAATAGGGTAAATTTCAACACTTATACTTTAAGAAACAGTAAGTCTTCATTTAAAATTAATTTAACACGACAAATAGGGTGAATTAAATAGTTTTATTTTGACAATTTGCATTCCAGCAAATAAACTATCTAAAATGCCTTCCAAAATCACAAATTATTCTTTTTGGTAAGGAGTTTATAATGTATAAAAAGTGGCATGTAATGTGTTCACAAAGTTATTTATGACCACATGATAACACAATAACCAAACTTTATGGATTGGAAAACAAAACTTAAAAATATCTAGAAACGGTTTGGGGCTGCTTAATAGATTCACTGTCCTCCTTCTTGGACTCCTTATTACGACAACCCTTCACCATTTGTTTTGTCTCCTCGCATTCTGGATTATCAGCATCTCCCAAATCCACAACATTGGCCTCTTCCAAACTAGTCTTCGTAGTCTCTGCGATGTCCTTATCTTTCATTTTAATCTTCCTTCACAAAAGCAATCTGAAACCCTCGTGTCGTAACCTTGAAAAGAAAGACGAAAAAAAGAACCCTAGCGGCGCGCAAATCCCTATTTTTCGAAAATGATTTCTTACTAGAGGCTACACATGGGTTACAACAGGATTACAAGCGCATTACTGGAGGCTGACCGCAGGAGGTATTGCATGGATATAGTCGGGTTACAATCGAGTTACCGTCGCGAGCCCGTGTTGACAAGTCACACGCGGCAAAACACCTATTTCTTTTATAAGTTACAAGCGGTGGGACCGCCGATGCATACGTAGCCTCCTCATCCTATTGGCTATCGTACGCAGCGCTGCGTACGTCTTACGTACGCAAATTTTTCTCCAAGTACAAAAAGAAAATGACTAAATAAACAAGAAAAGGTCGGAAACAAATAGAGGTCTTTTATCATTTTCGCTTGAGATGGGTTAGATCGTAAAAACGTAAGAAAGCCATAAGTTTAACGCCTGTTACTAGAGAGTGTTTCCCAATTTCTCAAAACAAAATATAGTCCTTAAAGACTAGGAAACAGAAAACCCAAAAGAAATTTCTAGACCTGCTATGATGAAGCTTGAGTAATTAATCGATTTTTTTTTATAAAATGTTAAGTAATAATAGCTACAATAGCACTTTTATATGTGAAAAAATCAGCTATTCATATAATATAATAAATAGGATCTCTCTTTCAAATCAGGAAAGATCATGAAAATAATAAGTATTATCCTAAAGAGTCATATACTAGCAAGATAACATTTTCCTAGTCAAGGAATATCATACAAGATGTCATTATAAATAAAGTATCATCACCAAACTTAATTAAAATATCCTGAAACACATTGAACCAAGAGAAGACTTGGCATCCTTAGAATTGTGGGATGCATAACATGAGATCATAATGAAGAAAGGTTAAGAGGCCATGTGCAGGCTTATAGGATGGTTGCAAAGCTAAGGTCCCAAGGGAAGCGGATAGCCCCCCTTTATTGTAAAAGAATCTTTTTGTTGCCCTTGTATTTGTGATACATTGTTCTATAGTCGCCTATCTTGACGCCATTGGCAAATGTGAGGCAACTACTTGATGTAATGGATGTCACCACGTCAAAGTGTAATAGTGATACATTGTTTCACACTCGCCCATGTTGATGCCATCAGCCTACGTGATGCAACTAGTTGAAGCAATGGATGTCACCGCGTCAAAGTGTAATAAGTTTATTGTGCCAAGAGGTAAATAGTCTTCCAGCAAAAGCTAAAATCCATTTGATGTTGCTCTAGACCCTAATTCAGTTCATCTAAATCATCCAAGTACTTTAGAGCATTACTATTCTAGTAGAAGCAATGATTTTTACCAACTAAATTGGATGGTTTCAAGAATAGCCTCCTAAATAAGTAAAGATGGAACAATTAAGTGATGCAACAAGGATTCTCAAATCCAACATATTAACAAGCAAATTTGGTCGAAACAGATCCAATATAATTCAGCGCTAGCCATAGCCCTTAAGATTAAAGGCACCACAATTTTGAGACGCGAGTAGCAGACCTTGGTCACTACCAACTTTCAACAAAAAGCGATGATTCATTTTTTGCCTCACTTCTCACCCAATATCCAAAACACAAATATTTGCTGCCCTTCTCTCAACCAACAATAAGTAGTAACCCACAATCACCCATCTACACATTCAACGAATAACATCCGAATGTGGGCTGCTAAGTAATAAGGGCAATTCGTTGCCTTTATTTTTTTATTTTAGTAGTAATAACAGCTTATTTTCTAATTGCAAGAAAAAAAAGTTAGTAAATGTATCATATAACCAAAGTGATCTTTACATTTGCAACAACAGCTTAATTACATAAAGCATAAATTAAAATTTCTAATTAAAAAATAGTCTAACCTTAAAAGTGGATGCATGGCAACCATCATGGTGCCGTCTTCAGGAGGCAACATAAAAACTCAATTGATATGAAACACAAGCTAAATTGCTATCAAGTATAGACATAAATCAAAATCTCTAATAGAAAATAGTCTAACAGGAATTAGTCAATAGTTTAAATAAAACTGTCAACTATATAATTGCATCATAGTTTCAAGAACCACATTACGAATTTTTTATAGCAACTTGCTCATGATTATAACTTGTGCAAAATAAAATATAGCCATAAGAATATTAAAATATTACAAATAATGATAGCACAGCTTGTATTTGATAGAAACTAGACTAATGAACCAACACAAAGCTTAAATTGAACCTTTTCTCTCTTCGGACAACAGTTGGAGCCTCTGATGGTAATGAAGCAATTGGCTTTGGTGATGGCTTAGTGGGAGGCATCATCGGACTTGGCTTCATTGACATGGTTGATCGACCAATTGATGTAGTTTGAACAGGAATTTGATCAGGAATGTAATGGCCTATCTAAAATGGAAAAAATGGAAGTACTCAACAAGTGAGTTTATAAATTTTCAAGTTTAGAAAGATAATCACTAGACAAATCACTTAAATAATCATGCAGCAACTTTAAGAAAAGTCAGATGCCGGATTTTCAAGAAACATACCAATGAGAATGTGCGGGTCTATATATATAATATATATATATATATATATGAACAGAGAAAAATATGCAAAACTAAAACCAGCTACTAAAAGATGCCTGTACAATGTACTCTTTTATAAATGATTAAGTGCTTAAGTGAATAAACTATAAATGTAACTAAATGATCAGCTTTAGCAATCTGTTGTCTGTCTCATGCAAGTTCCTAGAATGTTTTTAAATAAATCTTATTACAAATTGCTTCAAAGAGTTAACCAGGAGAATGAAACTCCTGTGAAATGACAACGAAATTTAATGGAAAGAAAAAACACCAGAAAAAGGCAGACTAATCCAGTGAAAACAAGGTATTGCAAAACAATATAAGGATTCAATTTTCCCATATAAGCACCATAAATATTAAAAAATTTTACGAAACAGTAGCATGCCATAATGGTAAGCTAATGACAATTAAAAGCAAATATACCAATTATTTGGTCAAACAAAACAAGGAGGCAACAGAATATAAAGATAAGTCTTAAACAATGTAACAAGTGGGAAGTCTTATATGAAGATGACCCAACATAGGCAAAGAATAATTGTCATTATACATAGCTCGCCTGGTTTAATAATCATTATTCATAAAAGGTAAGAAGATAGCATAGAATGAAAAGGAGAGCAAATGAAGGTGCATGGATATGTCTTATTGATAAGTTAAATCTCTACATTATTGGGATGTGTTAAGGATATCATTATTGTTAGGGATATCATTAATGGGATGTGCTAAGACCAAAACTTTTAAGAAACCTATGCCTAAATATTCAAACGATCACACAATCCTTCCTGTATCACAGTAAAACAAATATTTCACTCAAGTAGTTGGCAGTAGACTCAATACTAAATAAAAAGATGCACAAAATGTATTGTTTGAAGTTTGGTTCACAGTGATTCTAACACATATACTATAATAAAGCTCTCTTTTAGCATATCCAATCCATGCTTAATTTACTTTCTCGGAATTGCTTTGCTCAAAAATGTGTAAGAAGAGGAAATTATGGTGGCCTTAACTCAATGTAATAAGAAGAAATTATGATGGCTTATTGAGTTATAAAGCCCTAACTCAAAAATGTGTAAGAAGAAATTATGGATTATGATGGCTTCAAAAACTCTATGTAATATCATTACAATGACGTGACGAAGAAATTATAGAGGAAATTATGTGTAAGATGTGTAAGAAGAAATTAGTTATAAAGCCCTTAACTCAAAAATGTGTAAGAAGAGGAAATTGAGTTATAAAGCCCTTAACTCAAAAATGTGTAAGAAGAAATTATGGATTATGATCGCTTCAAAAACTCTATGTAATATCATTACAATGACGTGACGAATAATCAATATAACTAGATACTCCCCCACCCTTAGGCAATTTACAAAATGGTTTGCTATAACTCCTAGAATATTGTGATAAAACAAGAAGATGACTAACCCAAAATTTGACATTGTTCATAGTTGAAGTAGGCTGCTCACTAGCCATAAATTATTAAGAGGATTTTCTTTTACAGAATGCAAAATTTTAACATGTTGCAATAGAGGCTTAATGAAGTAGTTGCCTTGTACCTCTGAAATATAAACAACATTTTGCAGCATTCAAATCACATTATCATCAATCTATGAACTCATTTCAAAATGAATTCCAGCATAAAAAAAGTCAAATTTAGGTTTTAAACAGGCCCTACTTTGGGTAAATATCTGAGCAATATTGCATGAGCGTTAAACCTATGTTCAAGAACAATTTAGGTTTTAAACAGTTTAGGCTTCAAATGACCATAAATTTGTACTTTTAAATTATGGTGTTTTACTCTTATGGGATAAAGGCTTGTTGTTGTTGTGTTTTACTATTATGTTCCTCAATTATTTGTTTCAAGAATGTTTCCGATAGAAATCCATTCTAAAAATGGAGAAGTTCAAAACAATTGAAACACTTTATAGATTAAATACAGTAACTAATCCAAAACATGGCATGCACAAAATTAAATATTCATTTTTTATTCTACAAGAAATTTTATAAAAGGATTCATTTACTTACTTTTTTATTACTCCTTAAAATGCAAAGTAATGCAGAGCCTTCAAAATTAACGAGCCATTTAGCATTAATTTTATATTTTTGTTATTATAATTTTTTTTTCATTTAATTTATCTTGTTTATGTTTAATTTGATTTAAAACAAACACGTTCTTTTTAGCTGTTTTGGCACTGGTTGATGAAGGTGGGTGGTCGTTGAATGCCGACAATAGTAAGCGGCAGACGACCAGCAGTGGGTGGTTGTTGGCGGAGACTAGTCAGCCGTAGCAATAGGAGGAGATGGCCAATGTCAAGCAGCAAGTTGCGGCAAGCATTTTAGTAGCTATTTCTAAAAATGCTAAAAAGAATAAAAAATTGTTTTGAGTTTCTTAAAACAAGAAGTTGATTTATTTTAAAAAAAATTAAAAGATTAAAATATACATTAAACAAACAAGTTTTTAGAAACAAAAATAAAAATAATAACAATAATTAAAAATTAAAATTATATCAAATGACTGATACATTTCCAATGTTTCTAGCACACACAGGGAAAAAATTTGCCTACGTAAGACGCACACAGTGATGTGTGCGATGCCCAATCACAAAACGCCACGTAATTTTATCGGGCCCACTCCATTAAATAAATATATTAATTCGGAATAAAACCGCGCGTGACCCGTTACCTGGCCCGCGGTGTAACTCCATTGTACCTCGATTTGTAACTTCAATATACCTCCCGCGGTCGGCCTGCTGTAACCCGATTGTAACCGCAGTATACTAGCCATATACCTTTCACGAATTTATCTTGGGTATACTCCGCGGTACAGTTTCTTGTCACGCTCTTGTAACCGGAGTAAACCCAAGATATACCTTTCACGGTACAGGGTTCTGTAACGCGCTTGTAACCGTCATATACCCCAGATATACTCCTCGGTACAGAGCCATGTAACGCGTTTGTAACTGTGATATAATGCAGATATACCTTCCGCAGTAAATAAAAATGTAACGCGAGGGTAAGTTTTTTGTAACCTGCTTGTAACCTTACCATTATACCGCGGGTGTAACCTGCCTGAAACATCCTTATAACGCTGAACCATTCATCACGTTGTCCATTC